TTTTGGCACTTGACGATTAATACGATTAATGCCACCAGGCAGACTAACTGCTTGGTGCTCCTCTCCCCTTCAAACATGAACATGTCTATAATTTTGACACAATTTGGAACAGATTTTTACGAAGAGCCAATTTTCTCCCTATAAATTGGTCATGTGACCAGGATACAAGGGTGTCCAGGGACTCTGAGGGATTAATCGTCAAATTAATTGTTATCGGCTAAATACAACACATTAATCGTGATTAATTTTTTTGCCAATATTGCCCAACCCTAACAATGACTGGTAACAAACTAAGCCCTAATGAAGACAGATCGCATCAWCTTACTGTGCTTTACTCTGTTTATGCAGCCGACGCTTCTCTGGAATGATTGAACGTAAAAAGTAATTAAGACTTGACAAAATAAAATTTAAGACTTCGGATGAAAATCTGTTTTTAGGTCTAAATTTTTGATTTTCAAACTTTAGACTTTTTAAYWCCCCGCACAAACCCTGGTAAAAGCTTTCTTCAGCTGCACCGCTGCTGCAGGTTCAGATCCAATGTGTTGTTAAATCTAAGCTCAAAAGGTTTTTACTCAGAAGTTTTATTCAGCAGCTGTAAAATAAGTCAGATCTCAGTTTGTGGTTGGTTTTTAATGAGGCGAAGCAGCTTTTCGCTGTCAGCACAGGCCTGTCAGGCTGTGGGAACAAGCTGCAACACATCCCTGCTCCTCCTCTGGAAACTGTGAGCTCAGCAGCCTCAGGAATGAGCCTCAGCCCCGCCTCAATAAAACCTGCACATCAGCCTGTGGGACTCTGAACAAACAGTATTAAAACACAGATCGGATTTATGATCTTTATTTGATTTGATTAATGCCATCATCAACATTAAAGTTATTCATGAATGAAACAGTTCTTATTATCACCTAACTTCCGTATAAAGGACTGACATTCCGTGCTGTTATTTTAGCTGCTTTAGCTTTAGCAGCTAACTGAAGCAGCTTCTTTAGCCGTCGTTAGCTGATAAATATAAACTCACCTCGGTGAACGGGTCCATCTTTGACAGCAGAGTTAAAACCAAAGTATTTTTAAGTCGTGTACAGAAATAAAAARAGATGCAAAGCTGAGGTCGGAGCTCTCACAGTCACGTCTCGTCTCCTGTCGGAACCAAACAACTTCTGCTCTGTTCAAATTTTGAATTCCAGCGCTGCGAGCTACTGCGCAGAATCCAACCGTTCAACCGGGCCTCAGCAACCAATCAGAATCGAGAAGACAGGACGCTGCCGTTTTTCAGTAGCCAATCACAGACTGGATAATGAAACTGGGGGCGGGATGTTTGTACAAATTAAACACGCCCACATTTTTCAGGAGTCAGTGCATAAAAATAGGTGTAAACGGTTAAAACGTGTAGGCTGAACTAAATACAAGGTTGTTTATTACAAAGAAATACTTTTATTTTCAAAACGTGAACAGATAGATAGATAGATAGATAGATAGATAGATAGATAGATAGATAGATAGATAGATAGATAGATAGATAGATAGATAGA